ACTATTATAGTAGTGGAAAATGTCAATTAACTTCTGTAGTCCTGTGTTGCTTTTGGAATAGTTTTTCTTTTTGCTATAAAATCAAACATTCCTTCAGCAATTTTTTTGACATTGATTAAATGCTTTAGATGAGTGTATTATTCTTAATAAGTGTTCAATTAAATGAATAACTGGAGTTTGGCTGTAACAACAATTTGAAGGAAAAACGATGTCCAGTTAATTATAACAAACTTTTTCAACTGGCACTTTATTTCCTTGCTCCATGTTTTACATTTAAATGCTCTAATTGTTAAATTTGATTTGCGTGGCACTTACCTACTACTGGCATATTGGTCCAGTGCCCCATTTCTTGGGAGATGAACTACTAATGTTGCATGCATTTAATTCTTGTTTACTGTCAGAATTGATTTTGTTGGATTCTCTTCCCTCTTATAATGTTGTTTTAGGAGAAGCACAGTATGATGTAAGTTTTAGTAATGCGACCCTTTCATGCTTTGTTGGAAACAGAGTTGAATTATTCTTTTCTTACAAGCAGCACGATAGGATCTAAGTTATAGTAACGCAACCCTTTCATACTATATTAGGAATGAAGTTATTCTTTTCGTGAGGAATGAGTGTTAAATTCCTTATAAATTAAACTTTAACAATTGTACATGTGGAACAAGTTTGGTATTTGATGTTCATCTGTTCTTCTAAAACAAATCATGTTCTTTAGGGGTTATTCTTTCTCGATAGAGTGGCGATGACTATGAACAATTTCTTTTGCATATATCTTGACTGAGTTACCTCATGCTATTCCATCACGTATGCACCTCTAGAATTCTCTCAATAATGTCTTACAACTTTGTAACATTAGTTATTTATTTAATTATTTGGATAAATCCTTTAGATTTTCCAGGATGTCTTGTTGCCTGAAAAGGTTAATAGCAATTTCTAGTAAATGCTTCAATCATGCTCGGTGTAATATTTGACAGTAGTTGGTCTTGGTCAACATTTGAAGAATAAACTTATGACTACTAACAAGTGACAATCAACTAGGTCATTTTTTAAAGATTTAATATCCTATTTTTAATCTCATTTTTCATTCCACTACGATAGTTCTTCCTATGTATTTTTGATGGCACCCTCATTAGCCCCACTGTGGAGGTGAAAGAGGGGTTATGCTGGTTTATAGGGATCGAGTTTATTACTACTAACTTCGATTTAAGCATTTTGTAGCCATGTGATTTTTATCCTTTTGACTTATTGGGTCGGTAGATCTTTCTACAACTGGTATCAAAGTAAGCTTAGTAATGCCCATGTGTGATGAGGGAACTCAATTAGAGAAGGGCACCTAGAGAATGGGAGAAGAGGCACATGGTGGTATCGGACCGTCACTGTGCTAGGTTATGGGCCTCATAAGTCACCTAGGATGATTCTTAGCTGTGTGTTGGATCTCGGGTATCTCAAGCCTTTAAGTAGGGTATGTGTATCACTTTGATGGAGATTGTGGTTGTATTAAGGCTAGACGAGACGACTACATTTTGGCTCAAGTATTAGGCCAATGGATTATGTGGGTTGGGTCATAACAAGATGAGTTTATTATCTAGGCTTAAACTTTTGTACATGTGTTTTTTGTGTCTCCAAATTATTGGACCAAAGATATGTTGGTCAGATTGTGACAATTGATATCAAAACGAACCTAGTGATAAGCATTTGTGATAGATGGTCCTAACTTAGAAAGATTTACCTGTAAATGAGACAAAAGGTACATTATAGCAGGTGACTGGACTGGATCTCACATGCCGCCTAGGGAATGATTTTGGACGTGTGTCGGGCCTCTTTATTTAATCCCACATTAGAAACGAGAGATGGACTGCGAATTGAAGCTCTTTTCCAGAATGTTAGCATCTCGACAATCTTTTTTGGGTGGTTCTTTATTTAAAACATGAAAATGAGGGTGTACTTCGCCCTGAGACATGATTCAAAAACTAATGAGTCTTTATTGCTTTCTTTTTTGTGTAATTCTGTGGTGCAAAATGTATTAAGCTTTTTATTGCCCATTGTTTTTCCTTGCCTTTTAGGCCATAACTACTAGAGGAAGGTTCATTATGCTGATTAGCTTCTTTAAAGGTTGACATGACTCTATCATGACTATGTAACATTACCAGAGCTTATTCTGTCAGCAAAGCATGCTTGCGTATACTTTTGTGGATTTTACCAAATCAAATATTAGTATTTGCATAATCATTCTTTTTCTCCCAGAAAAGGATCGATGCATTTTTAGCTTCCAAGGCTATTTCTTTGATCTTTGGTGTACCTTCTGTAAGTGCTTGTTCTCTGGTGATGCAGTACTCACGACCTGCGACTAAGTTCACTGAAGATTTTGATTTTATGGCAATGAATGAAAAGTTCAACAAAGATGAAGTCTGGGGTCATCTTGGAAAAAATAAAGCCCATGTTAAGGACAAGGATGGAGAACTACAAGAAGATGAAACTGATGATTATCTGGACGAAGATGATGAAGCACTAAAGCTTGAGATCAAGGTAGTCAAAGTCCATATTTTAGATTTTTATGCTGTTTGTCATGGTCGTCTGGTTTCATTTTGTTTGCCTGGAGTACTAGTGTACTATTCTTATCCACTTCACTGATTGGTTTGCTTTCTTTCCTTAAAGCCTGTTTATGTTAAGGATGATTTCTTCGATTCACTTTCTTGCGCTACCCTTGATCGGGGAACTCGGGGTGGGAGGACCAGATTTTCGGAGCAGTTGAAAATAGACACAGAGGTACATAGGGGTCTCTTCAGGGACCATGATGCTATCATCTGTGGAAGGTTTATGAATTTAGTTATACTTTTTTCTCTATGCAGACCTTTGGTGATTTTGCAAGGCATCGAGCAAGTCGAGGTGGTGGGCGTGGCCTTCGAGGAGGTGGGCGTGGGCGAGGGTCCTACTATGGAAGGGGCTATGGATACATTGGTAGGGGCCGTGGTTATGGTCACCCACATCGTGCTTCCTAAGCTAGAAGCTTCTAGAATTAATGCTGGTGCCAGCATGCTCCTCTTAGCTTAATCGGAGATGAAGAGACTGATCAATGGACAGATCCATGCTTGGAATATAATTGTAGTTGGAGTTTGCTTTCATGCTTTTTGTCTATTGCTCCAAAAATAAAGCAGAAGCGGCCACAAGATGTGCGGTTTCACTTAATAGTACTGAGAAAACATCTTTGATGTGGTTCTGATGCATCCGTTGCTATTGTAGTTTTGTGTCACGTGGCAAAACTATCTTTCTGCAAAGTTTATCATCAGTTTACTTGAGTGCTTTGCATCCTGTTTTGGCCTTATTGATCCTTTGTTGTGTTAAAAAGGATGTGGTGTCATCAAAATGGTTTCCTTTTTCTTGTGCTGTGTTCATTATGCTGCCACTTTAGTGCATCATGGAATAACATGTTTTTTAAGTATTGTTTACAAGAATTTTAGATATAATGTGCATGTTTCTTTAGTTCTACACCTGTTTTCATCTCAATTGACACTCCCGAGTTCCAATTGGCTAGTGCTTTTGGGAGTTCTCGTTGATGGCTGTATTTTGATGTAGCTTTAACGAGTTTCTTTACTGAATTGATATGATATTTGAATATAAAGACGCAATATGGGTCGAAAAAGTGCAAACAGATTTAAAGAGTTTTCTTATTCCACTTATTCCACAGATTTAAAGAGTTGGAAATGCCACAGCACAAATCAAAAGGTTCTGTAAAAAAAAAATCGCTCTCAAACTCAATTCCAATGAGAATTTTCTCCACTGGTAAAGTTACACCTGCAACGCGTTGGCAGCCGATAATGGCACACGAGTGCCACTGTAATCAAGGGTCCCATGTTAAGAAGTGTTCGTAACCAGTGCACTCACTTTACTTTGCTAGAACAACGTGATATCAATGATTGCCCGAGTACTGATGCATGATGGTTCTGGAAAAGCATGATGCGTCTCTCATGCCCTCTGAGGTGATGTGTGATAGGGGCTTTTTGAGTCGTATATGGCGGAAGAGACTAACTCGGATTTAGGATTAATTCACAAAAGTACTGGTCAAAATAAAATGTCATCGATCGATTCACATGAAAGAACTTTTGGAGATGTATAATTATTCAACGCTATTTATTGCTGAAAGATGAACTGCAGCTTACCTATCACATGAGCGGAGCGGAAACTTGACACGTTACTACCGGCTCGATGGGATCATTTGCGGTAGTCTTCACATGCAAAAGTCTGCAGTCAAGAAAAATCCCCGAGTGTGTCATCGATACATAGATTTGATCCGAACAAGTTAGAATGAATGAAATAGCGGCTCTCTTTTTCCATATTATATTGCTCATCGCAAGTTTCCTCACATCGTCCATCCGATATAATAAATACAACTGAGCACGATGGCCGAGTAAGTATTATTATTATTATTTTTCTTTTTGCAAATAATAAGAGCGTTTTACACATAATTTTTATTTTAAGATTTATCACGAATGATATATCTGATTGGCTTCTTGAGACGAACAAATCACGTCAGGCTGGACTTGCCATCCAAAAATCTACCGCACCGAATCATTAAATGATAATATAGTCGAGTTTGATGGCCTTTCGCCGCTTGTCAAATCACGTGCCATGATGGGATCAGATGGCGGTGCTTCCCGTCGCGATGGGACGGTAGGTCCGTGCCGCCGAACAGCACCAAGAGAATCTACCCAAATTTCCCTACCGTGTCAGTTTGTGGCTGACATGCTAAGGCAGACATGGGTCCCCTGCATAACACAGAGTCCTCCTCTCCACATTCTTCTTCTCTGTTCTGTTCCTAGGCAAGTTGGAGGCGATGCCACGTTACATTTTCTCGATGACCCAATGGTCGCTCCCCACGTGGCAGCCCGCACGCCGTTTGATTTCGTCTGGCTTCATCTCCCAAGTAATCTTATCTTACACGCGACGCCCTCCTAAAACTATAAATATCGACACAGCTATTGTAGTCATTATAATCTCGCCGACACACAAATCAAATGAGATGAATATAGAGGCTTCTTCAGCAACAGAACACTCTTTGTCTCTCGTCCAACCAAATGGTGTTTGTTCTACAGAACGAACATACGAGGGAGGGAATTCGCAATGAATTATGTGTAATTATCCACGAAAACAAGATCGCAACTCCCCTCCGCATGCAAAAGTTGCACTGAGCTCCTCAAAATATGACGTCGAGAACAAATGATACAACTTCGAGGGGTGTTGGTGCATAAAAGAACTCTTCGGGCAGGAAGTCGTCCTTGTTCTTCTGCTTCGAATCAGGTATTTATCTGAGGACAAAGAGAGAGAGAGGCTGCGAGGGGGGAGGGCTCGGCGACTGGGGAGGCGAAATGAGCGAGGGTTGAACAGAGAGCACGGGCATTCAATGCCGCGATCGCCTCGGCCCCACCTCGATTCCACCATCGCTGAAGCCTTCGCATCTCCGTTGTCGACGCTGACGCCGCCTTTTTTATGGGGGGAGGAGCTCTCGTGGACGGCGTCCGTCGCTGGTTCCAACGCCGCTCGCATCGATCCTCCGCCGCTACCGCCTCCTCTTTCCTGACCGACGATCCTGCCTACGACGAGTCCTGCCAGGAGGAGGAGGAGGAGGAGGAGGACCAGCTCCCGGTCGTCCAGGACTTAGACCTCATCGGCCTCCCGCGCATCAGGGTCCCCAAGCGCTTCAAGATGCCGCCGATCGAACAACCCTACAAGAAGGTCCCTTCCCGTTCAAAAATCTACGACTTTTATCGCGTTTCCAGTTGGCTCTGCTCTCTTGGACGATTCTTGCGTTGACATCGTCTTCATCGCTTGTTTTTTACTGCAAAATTTGCTCTTGGTCTTCCATATTTCTTGTGGTAGGTGAAGATGCAAGTTTATAATTACAGTTCCTCAAGAGATTTGGATCATGTAGGTAGTCCTGTTATTGCAAACGAAATCCATTCTCGAGATCCTCTGGAATTTAGGCGTGAGTTTTTTTTTTTCTCTTGAAGCTCTTTTATTTTTAGTTTTATGAATTGGCTTCTCAGGTTTGATCAGGAGTTTGGTCTTTCCCCCGTAGATTTTAACAAAAAAGAAAATAAAATAAAATCTTATCGAGGATCCAATCTTTCCTTTGTTGTTTCTGTCATTCCAAACATTTGAAGGGTCTGATACGGTATCCTCGTTTTTAAATCATTGCCTGGTGGGGAAGATCCAATTTGACTTTGTATTTGTTTGAACACAATTGGATTTACCCTATAATTGGTAATTCATGTTTCTGTCTAAAATTTCACCATTTGGAATATGAACCACCCAGAGCATGCTTGACACTGAATTCTTCACGGAGTATGGTGAAGCCAGCCAGTATCAGATTCAAGAGGTCATCGGCAAAGGAAGTTATGGGGTGGTCGCTGCTGCTGTTGACACCCACAGTGGAGAGAGGGTTGCCATCAAGAAGATCAATGATGTCTTTGAGCATGTTTCTGATGCTACTCGCATCCTTAGAGAGATCAAGTTGCTCCGGTTTCTACGACATCCTGATGTTGTCGAAATAAAGCATATAATGCTTCCGCCTTCTCGGAGAGAGTTTAAAGATATTTATGTTGTTTTTGAGCTAATGGAATCTGACCTTCACCAAGTTATTAAGGCCAATGATGATCTCACTCCAGAACATTATCAGTTCTTCTTGTACCAGCTTCTTCGAGCTCTGAAATATATCCACACAGGTTTTGCTTATCTTTCTGTTGACTACGCACAGGTCTCTCTTCATTTTAATAATACATCCGAGATGGACTGATCTATTTTGTTTATTGCAGCAAATGTATTCCACCGTGATTTAAAGCCCAAGAACATACTTGCTAACGCGGACTGCAAATTGAAAATTTGCGACTTTGGGCTTGCTCGTGTGTCATTTAACGATGCTCCATCAGCTATTTTTTGGACTGTATGTATTCCTTCCAATGGTACAATACTAGTAATTTAGTCCTCAGTCGTTTGCTACTCTGGTTATTGATTTTGGTATTTTGGTATTTTGTTCACTTCAAACTATCTGTGTGGTCTTCATGCAGCCTTAAACTTTGTTGACTGTGGTTTTAGATTTTTGTTGACAATGATTTTTGCTCTTTTCAGGATTATGTGGCAACTAGATGGTATCGTGCCCCAGAACTGTGTGGGTCTTTTTTCTCGAAAGTAAGATTTTTCTAAACATACAACTGAACTGGCATAGTTTTACCTAGTCGTTACCTTCTGTAATCTAACTATAAAATTTCTTTGTATGCATCTTATTATCAAAAGTTTCTTGTTACTATCACTATGCTTGTAAGGCTGTATGAGAATATGATGATAAGTTTTTTTTGTTCTTACTGTCAGAGTTGTTATTGTTACTTTCTTGACATGTTGAGCACTCTTCTACCAATAATTCTGTAATATACTTTCTCTAGACCATCTTCTGGTGTTTCTTCTTTATCTTTTATATATGATGATGATGTTATTATATCTATGATATAACATAACATAGTTCTTGCTGTCAGAGTAGCTACTTATGCTTAAGTACCTTATGCTACCTATGCTAATGTGCCTTAGTGTTACAGATTATTATTCTCACATTTAAAGAAAAGTGTATCAAAAGTGTTACAACTTTCTATTCGTATCTTTGTTGATGACTGCCAGCAAACTCAAATTTTGGTTCTATGCATTACAAAATTGCATTCTCTGAAGATGATTCACCAGTAAACATTTGCCTTTTTGCAGTATACACCAGCAATTGATATTTGGAGCATAGGCTGTATATTTGCAGAAATGCTGACTCGGAAACCATTGTTTCCAGGGAAGAATGTGGTACATCAGTTGGATCTCATGACTGATCTACTTGGCACACCTTCTGCTGAGACCATTGCTAGAGTTTGTTCAATATCTCTGTCTCTTTATTTTGTTCTTTTCTGCCTTCTTAGTAATGCACTGTGATTTTTGTTAAGTACTTGATCAAATATTTCAAACTACTAAATTTTGATAAGAAATTGCTTACGCTGCTTTTTTCATATGATGTTATTTGCCATTTGTCCTGAGTCATATGTTTGGTTATGCTGCTCTGTAAAAATACGACCATGATTATCTTTTGACACTGATTGCTGAGGTATATATGGAATGAGGAAAGATGGAGAGTTCATCAAAAAGGGAAAGCACTGGTATTTGATAGTTCTGATACATTGACCGTCTTGGAAGCCAGTGAATCAGTTATCTATTAGTTGATCTCTTAATATTGCCTGTGTAATTAGAGCATAAGGTCAATAAACTGTATCATATTCACTAAATGTTTTGCTGATGATGAATGAAAATAAATAGATGAAGTTCTGGATACAGAGAAGTGTATAATTATTGACCTATTTTGATGTTAGGTAAATTATTTATTGATCTATATTCACATGAGATTAGAACATTATATAAAGGCAGTGTTAAATCCTTTGATTAAAATTTTACAGGAAAAATATATCTTTTCATCTTTTCATTTTTTTAGCTATTTTCTTGGATGCAGGATATGGCTTAGAAAGAAATGATTATAGAACTGTTCCTCTAAGTAATTTTGGTTCGGCCATTTTCCTAAGTCATTTTATATGTTTATGTGCAACAAGTTGTATAAGTTGTCTTGGGGCTGACGGGTTCCTTTTTTTCTCTCTTGTTAACGATATAGATTCGAAATGAAAAGGCAAGAAGATATCTTAGCAGCATGCGGAAGAAGACACCAGTGCCTTTGTCGCACAAGTTTCCAAGTGTAGATCCATTGGCACTACGTCTATTGGAGCGTCTACTAGCATTTGATCCAAAAGATAGGCCTACTGCAGAAGAAGTACGAAGTTCAACTTATTCTTCATCTTTCAACTATTAAAAATCCTCAAAATTCAGATATAACATGCAAGAAGCTGATTGTTTCATTTTTTATTTAGTCTGATATTGATGATGGCATGTTTTCAGTCCTTAACAGATCCACACTTTTGTGATTTTTTTGGTTGAATCTGATGTTGACAATGGTATTTCAGGCTTTAGCAGATCCATATTTTCATGGTCTAGCGAATGTTGATCGTGAACCATCAACACAACCTATATCAAAACTTGAATTTGAGTTTGAAAGGAGGAAATTGATAAAAGATGATGTAAGAGAATTAATTTATAAAGAGGTACGTTACCATAGCTTAATAAATATTATGTCATTTCTTAATATAGTTGCTCCACGTTTAACTTGTAACCAGTTCCTTTTTGAGAAGCAAACAGATTCTGGAATATCATCCACAGATGCTGCAGGGATATCTTCGAGGTGGAGAACAGACTAGCTTCATGTACCCCAGGTGTGACTTCTATTAGCTTTCCACCGTCTGTAAGTATAATATAAAGCATGATTTAAGTAGAGTAGTTAACTAAGCATACTACCACCTGCAAATCTGTTAATTTTGCCCTGAAATGTAACTGAGATTCAGCCTAGGTGTTTCTGTTGTTGTTAATAACAATTCTGAATTATTTTGTATCCTGGCATGGGAAGCAAAGTAGGGCTACAAATTAAAAGGTAGCACCTTTCCTTTTGTTGAGAGGAAGAGTTACAACTTGTAGACATGTAACTGTTAATTAAATGAGGAAAACGATTTGAAAATTTGGATACAGTTAAAAGCATTTAAGGTTTGCAGTCAAGTTTTAAACGCCCATCAGTGGTTGTACAAGTCAACAGTGATTAGTATTTTGGCAATAGAAAACAGCAGAAGATGTTCAAAATATACAGAAATTCTGGCTACAAAATTTGGCATTTATTTGGTGGGTTAAATATGTTGTTAGAGAACACAACAAAAATTAAGTAGTCATTAAGTGTCAGTAATCTGTTTGTTAATAGTGAAGGTTATGACACAGTGGTCCAAAAAATGTAGCGGAGGTATCAAGAATTGGACATACTTTTCTGGTGACTAAATTCTCAATATTTTTTGTTTAGTGGTAAGACCAAGTCATTTCCAGTAACAATTGCTTCTTCATCTTTAAAATGGTATACCAGGTTAATTTAATTTATTGCTTGATTCCTGATTTTTAGTTGATGTGTCATCTTAAAGCATTATTTTTGAGTTACCTAGAGTTTTCATTGTCTAATGAACAGTGGAGTTGATCGTTTTAAACGACAATTTGCACATCTTGAAGAGCACTATGGCAAGGGTGAAAGAAGTACCCCTCTCCAGCGACAACATGCATCATTGCCAAGGTAATGTTGAACCACAAACTACAAATCCTGACTTTCTGGTAAATGAGCTAATCCTGCTTTGTTTATATGTATATTGAGTAAATGTCACCCAGATTTGATTTACATGTCATTTTGTAAACATGTATTTTTTCACTTTTAACAGGGAGAGGGTTTGTGCAACAAAAGTTGAAATTGCTGGCCAAAATAAAGATTTTGAGAAGAGGCCTGCAGAATCTGTTGCTGGAACCACCCTTCAAAGCCCTCCAAAGTTACAGCAAGAACCAGACCAGGCATCAGCAACAGAAAATGGTTTAAACAAGCCAAATAGCAGCACCCGTAGCTTACTGAAGAGTGCCAGTATTAGTGCATCAAAGTGTGTTGTTAAAGGAAAAGGGGATACTGAAGTAAGTGGAAAATTCAAAAGACTTGACGTTTTCTAATTCGTAATATTATGATGGATATATATATATTTTTCATTTATCAGTTAATTAAAATATTCAGAAACTGACTGCTGATATGGTTATGGTTGTCAAGCCTTCTTATACTTTAATTACTGGGTTAGGCATGGATAACAGTTTTAATATCATGTCAACTGGCAAGTCATGAGTTTCTAAGCTAAGATTGCTGCACTTACATCTAACTGAATGGATCCGAAATAATTTTTTTCTGCATATTAAATGCATTTAAAACAGATCACAGGTTGTTTTAGTTGACCAGGAAAAATTGTTGGGTAAGCATAATAAAACTAAGTTGATATGCTCAATGTAATTTACGGCAACTAATAACTCTTCCATTTTAATTAACATTGTACCTGAAAGTTCCCTGATACTATCAGTTTTGGGGTGCCTGGATTATTGAAGTTTCACATGATTGATTGACCTATTTCCTCCTATACTGACCTAGAATTGTTTGCTGATATATTTGGCATCTTCACTTTCACTGGGGAACATCAACTTGTTCAACATTTTCTTTTGCTCTAAGCAATTTCACTGAAATGCTATTGAGAACCGAGATGCTGATTTTTCTTTTGTTTGATGTTTCAGGAAGAACCAATGTCTGAGAACACAAATGAGGTGGTTGATGAGTTATCTCATAAGGTGGAGGAACTGTATGTTTAGTGCCACAAATGCTACGAATACTCGGTTGACTACAGCCATCTTAACTACATTGGTTTGCATACTATGTTCCAGCCTTGAGGAGTTTGACACACGAAAAGCTCAGGTTTTATTTAACGCCAGGCAATAGTTGCTATGTTGCCAACTTCACCTATTCTTTTCTAGGTTGTGACCCACAAATTAACATGGCTCTGTATTAGATATTTAATGTTCATTGGGGGATCGATCACCTGTCAGGTCCTGTTGATTTTTCCTGCTGCGAATGCTCTCCAGGGAGCTTCATGTTGAAGAGCCAATATCCTGTAATTGTATCATTGGTGCTAAAAGAAAACTCGTCAGGCCACATTGTGGACAGGAAATTGGGATTATTTTGTCATTTACAAAATGTACTGTATGTTGCATGTCTTCTAGTCATTTATTACTTTTGATGATGACCTGATGCTGCTCGTGTCCTGTCACTTCTACAGAAGTACTTAAAGGGTACAATTCATATGGGATGATTAACCTATTTCCTTTTCTGATTTTATAAACTAACTCATTTTTATCCTCGTACGAGTAAATTGGATATGTGAGTTATCCACCCATTCTAACGTCATAAACCTAAAGCTTGCTATTAATAATTCTTATTTTGCTATCGACAAACCTCTTATTATGGATTATTTTTTTATAAAAATAATAAGTATCTAATTTTATTATTTATAGCTCATTTATTTTCATGAAATATATAACCATGCTAATTATATATTAATAATTATAATTAATTATTTTTAATATCTCAATCTTTATATTTATATTCTTATATTTATGAAAGTAAAACGTTTAATCTATTCCCACGTCATCAATGTTATTGAAAATATATCATAAAATTTATGAACGAACGAGATTAAATATTTTATTTTTATAAATATAAATATTCTAATATAATTTTTAAAAATATATGATCGAAATATTAAAAATAATTAATTATAAAAAAAATAAAATATAATTAGTCCTAGACAATATGATCAGAACAGTATGAACCCAACGCCAAATAGATAAACTAAGATCCATCAAAATGGTGATTTAGAATAGCATGACGAAAACTATGTGTTTTATTGTCGTCTTCGCATGATTCACGCATGACGCAACGAAATATATGGATTTCCGAGCATGTGTTGTCTGTCTGTGGACTTTCAATGCTAAGTAGGACAATGATTGGACTTGAATAGCGAGACACACACAGATGCTGCTGCATCGGCAGCGAGGATCTATCTTTAACTCACCGATGGCGGCCATTTGGAGACCAACAATTGATTGATAGCCACGTCAGGTTCTACACATAAAATTCAGGGATTGCTGGGCGGCCTGTTCATCTCATCTTCTGCTGAAGCCAAGTATCGACTTCGCTGTCAGTCTCGTCACCCACCACCACCACCGCCACCGCCACCGCCACTCGTTTGCTACCGACTCTTCCACTCCCTAAAGGCGAAAAGAACTTTGTCATCGCCTTCCTCGTCAACAATAGCCGCTGCCTCCGCCCTGCTGGGAAAGAAGATCCAAGCATTAGCGTGCCCTTAAAGAGGTGGTGCTCATAATTTGCAATTCAAGAGGCACCTTCGTCCTCCCCTGCCTCTCTGTTCTCTTCTCAGGTGACCCTTGTGTCTCTGTTTTCTTCTTTGACTGAAGCCCGTCAAACTTGTATGCATGCGGTGAGTTCCAGGATCTAAGCCAACGATGCTATCTGGTCTAGCTCTTTCTGCTTGTGCTCCTCCTACCAGAACCGGTTCGGAAGTACTGATACTGATCGACTCAGCGCCACCAACCTCGACGCGGAAGCCAATTCTATGAAGATGGCGATAAGCGTTCTCCAAGTTGCTAATCGGTCGCATCGCCGCTTGATGAATTCGCCTCCACAAACAAACACCACCGATGGAGGTTGGCCTATTACTGCTTCCACCTTCCGCCTGATCTCTGTACCGGACAGACTGATGACGAGCCCTCTTAATTGAGAGACCATAATTCTTTCGTATATGCTTCTGTTGCATGACTGTGTGGTATTACTACTGGATTTGGGATTGACAATATTGATATGACTTGGAACAGCAGGGAGCCAAAAGAAATCGAGTTCATCCGCAATGCCAATCATGGTGTCGATTCTTGTAGTGGTCATCGTCGGCGCTTTGATCTACTGCATATATTGCTGGAGGTGGAGAAGACGCAACGGTAGACACCACCCAATGATTCCAATGTAATTTGCCATTCTGGTCAGTTTCTTAACGTTCTTCGTGGATGCATCAGCTGTGAGAAGAGCTCAGATCGAGAACCTAGGTCCCATATCAAGCTCAGACCTGTCCGTGATCGATCTTTCCACAATAGAGGCAGCCACGGATAACTTCTCCGAGGACAAGAAACTCGGTGAAGGTGGATTCGGCCCTGTATACCGAGTAATCGAGTCTTTCTCCTGGGATGAGTGCATGGTTTATATATCGATACTGTTCTTCCCATGGTGACTGACCGCTTGCTTGAAAATCCACAGGCGGTGCTCCGTGGAGGACAGGAAGTTGCTGTTAAGAGGCTGTCGACGAAATCCAGGCAAGGTAATGTGGAGTTCAAGAATGAGGTGCAGCTGATTGCGAAACTCCAGCACCGGAATCTTGTGAGATTGTTGGGTTGCTGCGTGGAGAGGGATGAGAAGCTTCTCATCTATGAATACCTTCCCAATAGGAGTCTCGACGCCTTCCTATTTGGTTCGTGAATCCACTGCTCTCGTATCGCATGGTATTAGAAATTTGGATCTCATATTTGGCGTCGGTTCGGCTTGTCCAGATCCGAGCAGGAGGTCTCAGTTGGACTGGCGGAGGCGATACGTCATCGTTGTGGGAGTGGCGAGGGGGCTTCTCTACCTCCACGAGGACTCCATGCTCAGGGTCATTCACAGGGACCTGAAAGCCAGCAATGTTTTGCTGGACAACAGGATGAACCCCAAGATATCGGACTTCGGCATGGCAAAGATCTTCGAGGGAGAAGACCACGAAGTCAACACGGGCAAAGTCGTGGGAACCTAGTAAGTGTGATTTGCAGCAGCAAGCCATCGTCGAACACATGTAGCTGTAGTCGCTGTCTGTCGATCTAATCTTTCTCCGTAACAGTGGCTATGTGGCGCCGGAGTACGCGATGCAAGGTACGTTCTCTGTGAAGTCCGACGTCTTCAGCTTTGGGGTTCTCCTGCTAGAGATTCTGAGCGGGGAGAGGAACGGGGGATCACACGTTCAGCGACATGGCCAGACACTCCTCAGACATGTATGCTCCACCAGTCTCTTTCCTCCTTCTCCTCCTCTTCTTCTTCTATCCGTAGCAATACGAACGGTGTGTTGAAGGCTGGTTCTGTTGATGGGAAGGCATGGGAGCTGTGGGACGATGACAGAGCCTCGGAGTTCGTGGATCCATCGCTGGGAGACTGCTACCCTACGAACGAAGCAAGCCGCTGCTTCCACGTCGGGTTGCTGTGCGTGCAGGAGAACCCGGAAGACCGACCCACCATCTCGTCGGTGCTGGTGATGTTGAAGAGCGAACAGATGCCGCTGCCGCCGCCGAATGAGCCGCCATCCTTCACGAGGCTGAGGACGACTCCCGACTCCCGCAAGTCCTCCGCTGCAAGATCTGATTCACCCACAATGCATTCTCTGAATCAGGTGACCGTCACGTCCATCGATCCACGGTAGCACCCGATCCATCGATTCACGTGGGCGAACATTTTGGCCGCAACTTTTGAGCGTCATCGAATCAGTTTGCACGAGTAAACAACATGTTCGATTGCATGTAATAGATAGATACGCTGCACTTCGCATTGGATCTTAAAAGTGATCTTGTCGCTGCACTCCCTTCTCGGTCGGTGGTCGAGCTTAAGCAGATTAATTCCAGGAAGTAGCTTGATAACAACACACTGCAAAAAGCAAAAAAAGAGCTTGATTATTTAGGATTTTGAATTAAAGCATAGCATCACATCTATCCTCTTCTTTGAACTTCTTAATTGTTGTGTGTGTGTGTCATCCCGGGAATCTTTTCTTGGATGATGATGACATGAACAAAGTTGGTGGGGATTGCTGTCATGCTATGTCGTTATTATAATGACTTGTACACGAGAGCATCTTTCAAGGAAAAAGGACGCATTTTTATATATAAATAATGGAGGGTAAATCCCTTCTCTTATGACTGCCGTCTCCACTAGAATTGAAGTCTATATATTTTTTCCAAAAAAAAAATTATAAATTTTTATTGATGGAAAAATAATAATCTGTCGCGTCAACGCGAATCAAAAAATCTAAGTCCAAAGAAAATGAATTCCTCCATATATCTAAAAATTTATTAATCCGAGCACGAGTGACGAACCGTATAGTTTTATAATCATCCCAGAAAATATTAAGTAGAAAAAATCTCTAACAATATCAAGAATTCTTCGAAGGAAAAGAAATTGTCTACTAAGAATCTCAACCATTATCATAGAGTCTGATTCGATGCCAATCTAAGTCATTTCAAAAATAGCTTTTTGTCTCGCATGGTAAAATACCTACAACCACAAAATAACAACACAAGCATCATCATATATATCCCCAGTTGATATATATGATAAGTGTTCCAAAAGGAAGACGCAACGTCCGCTTATTTGTGGATCAACAATGTAAATGAATATTATTTTTGTGTGGTCATTGTCACACAAGGGACATATGCCCCTCCCAGCCACTTGCTATGTCACTACCAAGTCTTGCTCTGAAATATTCCTTTTTGGCCTAAGGAAAAAAGGTCAAATCCCAAATATCTTTAAATGATAAAAGTATGTCCCATAATGTGGAGGTCCATATCCAGTTGAATCATCAAGAACCTGGGTTGGTTCTAATCACTTTCAGCCTTGCTAAAGGTTAAGATGAGTAAACAGGATGTCAATGTCATAGGTTGCCTTATTCATCTCATTGCTAGCTAGATTCCCCTTATTACGATTGGTTCCTAATTCCTATTGACTTGAAAGATAAATGCGGGAAAAAAGTCTAGCATGTCGAACATGATTGCGTGCTTTAATAGTCCACCAAGAAGGACAAATAAGATGGATATGAAAGCATGTGGTTTGAAATGCTTAATAGGATGTCACATACCATGATGACGTAGTAAGTTGAGAAGAGCAAGCTAGCCTTGGATCGCGCATCGAATAATTACCTCGATGCCTATAGATCGAATCTGAAGAAAGCAACTGAGGTAACTTGTTCTTACTCTGTATATGCCCAAGTAGCTGCATATCCCTGCAAATTTTGCAGAAAAAACTATTTTAGTTTCACAGAATGACATGTATAGGATATAGAAATTTAATGGCCAGTCGCGCCGATGCATTCCCTTCCATAGCTCATTTCAATTTGAAGTTCTTTCATTTTATGCCTAAATTGAGCATCAAGAAAATATAAATCCATTGAAACATTGCTGCTCGTCCAGTTCAAAACTTAACTTGCTAATTGACAAGATCTTATACATTATGTAAAACCAGATGCCTATAAAAATTTACCGGCTGTTGCTCTCAGAATTGTACCAATAATTCCTTTGCTCTCACGCTCATCTTGTCTTCAGAACCAACAATCTATGCCTAATGTTCTCCAACAGCCAGCAGTTACATAATATAGGAACCAGGTATTCCCAAACTTTATTCTTTCCTACTTGTCTAAGGTAATTAGCTAGTTTACATAATCGTATTTCTCGCATGATGGGTTATTGTTTCTTCCACTAAGAGTTTGACATCTTAAATCCACAAGAAAAAAGAAGAAGCTCCATGTCAAAGTAAGCCAACAAAACACTAGGATCAAAATAAGGAAAGATGATTGCCAAAGATTTCACAAGAGACATGAACATAAAACATGATCAACAGAATGACCAATAAGAAATATACAAAAGATAAGCAATTGAGATTTTTAAAAGTGAAAATTAGTGTAAGAAAGCAACTTAAAGTGTCAAAGAAATTATTAAAATCTCCAAGTTGATGTTCCAAGATTCCCAATCATGAAGAGAAGGTATGACATCCCAGAACAAACTGTCAAACAAGGCAGAGTAAACTAGTGAAAGCACAAACAAGGTTACATCCCTTCCCACGATAGTCGAGTAGAAACTCTAAATGCAAATCCTCGAGAGTTATATTTATCGGTCCATGTTTTCATGCTTCCAGTCTGTATCATAATGACACAAGCAAGCACCATAAGTAGCTTCATGCTATTTACCAGCAGAATATTATGTAATTTAATTTAGTTCCATCATGAGGCCAACATACAACAAAACAACATAACTACCTGAAAATAGATCTAACCAAATCAAAGTGCCAAAGATTATCAATCAATGATGTGCTTTACCCAGCATTGTTCCAGGAAAGCTGAGCACAAGGTGATTTTCACCAAAGGAAGGCCGTCGGATACAGAACTCTGAACATTCAAATCAGTAATAACTATCCAAACCATGAAGAATATAAGGAAACAAACCAAAACGAAATATAATAAAAAGATCCTCGAGATAGTTACTTTATTAAAGTTTTGGCATATTAGAAAGCCACAAGATTCTGATGCTCTTGCCAGCTTTGAAGCACTGTCATTCCTTGTGCTTGTTATTGAAAGAGGACATAGATGCCTTGTTGAGCACAGTTCTTGACATGACCAATATATCGGTACTAAATTTTAGCCATTTGCTTCACTGTCATCTAGTGCTTCTACTTTCAAACTCACCCCTAAACGAAGGGACTTTCTGTTATGGATGGATTTCAATTAGTTATCCACCTTTTTCATAAGCACTTTAATTTATTCCTACATCATTCATGATCTTTAGGGAAGGTGGAAAGTGAGTTGGAGAGTCGAACTTCATTACTAGCTTCTCACAATATCCTTTCCAAAAAATATTGTTTCCCCATATGCATATCGCTTGTCCAGATAGCACAATATTAGCATGGTTACGTCCCTACAATCAATCAGCAAAAAAAAGGGCTAGCACCGCAATGTCTTCTAGTGCAAGCTCCTGCAAGCCTCAGCCCAACTCCTGAGATCCTATCGAGCACAAACTACCATTAACAATCGTCCACCCACCATCTGCACGTTCCAAATCATTTTCTAAATGAAATACAAGTCCTGGTTAGATCTTGATTTTCATTCAATATTGCAAGTGGAAGGTCTTTGCCAATTAACACTCTGCAACTTCAGCAAAACAATTAACTTTAGATTATGAAGTGAGAAAAAAAAAAGGCAATCAAAATTATCTTCAGATTATCAAAAATTATACTAGAGCATGTGATCAGCAAGCCACAGAATAGCCATTGCGCCACGGAAATCAAAATCTCCTATTACAATCATATGTTTTTCATCTAAATATCACAGTTCATCATGATGAATGCTGGTGAAAACTTTGGCATGCTCTGAAATATGTTCGGAGTGCTTGGTTCACTTGTATCCGGTGATGTTGAACATTCCAACACATGCTTGCTGTATGTAATCCAACATGTCTACAGCAGTAGCAAAGTCTCCGTATGCATTACCTAATGGGACATGGATCTATCCTAAATCAAGGTGCTTATTTCCTACAGAAGGAACCCCTTAAACATGAATCTATCCCAAACCAAGGTGCTAAAATTAGCTTAGATCCAACAACAATCTCAATGAGGAGGGTGACTTATAATTTCTTTCAAATGAATAGCAGCTCATGTAGAACTTCAGAATATAACATGTCCCTCAAATTGGCTGTTAGTAGGAAAAATATCATTTTTTTGTAACCGAGCTTCCTAGAGATTAATCGATCAATAAAATCTAAATAAATAAGTAACGAGATCTAAGCTCCAACAAGCAGTTATAACTAAAGAGATAGGATCACCCTAAAGCAGAAGCAAAGGAATCGCAGATTTACCGCAAAAAAGCCCACCTTTCATCGACAAGCCGAGAAAAAACCACAAGAGAGTAACACTACCAGAGAACACGGTTCGATGGAAGACCCTAATCCAATCGCGAGCCTTCCTTTTTCGCCAAGTATTCTCGAATTCACTTGATGCAAGTGGGGAAGCAAGCCAGCCAAAGCGGGGGGAGGGCGGACCGGATAAGGCGTCGGCAGCGGCGGAATCCGGCGGCCTAACCCCGACTGATCGGTTCCCGACCTGCACCAAGCGAGCCCGAGAGTGTGGCGACGAGCACGGAGGGAATGGTTAATTTAATGCACATTCATCATACGCTTGCGGTGGCCGACTCGAACTGGGGGAAGAAGCGGGCGATGGAGGCGGACTTAAAGAAGCGAGGGCGGCACCGGAGAGGAGCGCAGGGCGGAAGGGTATATTCGTCCATCCACCCCTCTCGCGAGCCAACTCGACGTCGATCCACTTGTCGTCGTCACGTGGCCATGTCCACATCACGTGGGCTCTCCTGCTCGTTGGCAGTGGGATTCTGATCTCTTCCTTCTTTTTCTTTTAACTCTGTCAGGAACACATTTCCTCATGATTAATCCACAATTAATCCCAACCCTCCTTCCTCTAATCAAAGCTTACGTGTCGAAGGTTGATGATGTGATTCGTCTGGAATTTTTATTTTTTTTAGATTTTCTGAATTGTTTATTGTTTGGAAAATCAATCCAATTCTTTATTCTTTTCCTAATGGCAGCTAAATTGATGCCTCCCTGAATTGAGAATCCTAAAGCATGAAAGAAAAGAAATAGAGAGCGTTGTGACGACGTCAATCGTAGGAACAATGAATCAGAAGAGGTGTGTCGACGAAGGAAACTCCGAAGGTCGCATTCGGCCATCGGAAAGGGAACCTCTTAAAGCTACCCCACACAGCATATAAAAGGCCTTTATACCAAATGCACAATAAGAGTTAGGGGGAAAGAAAAAGCAACGATAATTTTGATATCGCTTTATCAAAGCGATAGGATCCAAGATTTGGACGGCATAAAGTCACGGAGCATATTTGGGTGAGACATTATTTAGAGAGAGAGAGAGAGAGAGAATCTACTTCTTGACGTCGATTCATTTCGAATATGATCAGAGAGTATGACGACGGTGTTGCAGAACGATCTACCGCGGACTGGTGGTCTTGCCATATGCCCAGAACAGGGGACGAAGACAAAGCAACAGAGCAGGTTCTCCATGTGTCTCTATAATCCAAGAGATCCTCCCCACATCTCACCGGACCATTTCGACTTGTCCTTTTCTTCTTGTATTGGGACATGAACGCCATAAATTCTAATTTGATCTACAGTGACCTCGGAGCATGCATGTTAGTCGATACACTGGAATCTTGTCTCGGAGCTCTAATGGTGCCATTTATCATGAGGAATAGAGTCAGTCGAGATCGACTGAGCTACAAAGCGGTGAGAGAGGCGCGAGATCTGAGGCTGTATTCAATGCTCAAAAAAGGCAAAGCATGAAAAGCTCCCCTCATTTGCCACGAACACACATTGGAACATCATAAAGACCAAAGACCAATCTTTTTTTTTGGCAGGCTTTAATGATGCATATCTCCCTCTCTGTCTCTCTTCTTTTCCTCGATATTCTCAAAAGAATCTGAGTTTGATTTAGGGGGCATTGTTCACCACTATTAACTACTGTTTATGCCATTCCTACGAGCATATGTTAATGTTAGTGATCGCAGAATCACAAGAAAGGGTGAAGAGAGTAGCCCCCACCCCCACTAAAGAAAGGAGTGCTGTTGGGGGCTCCACACGGGCACCTTGCCCAGTACAAATGCTATGGGCTAAAGCATAAGTTAAAACTCTCACTAGAAGTGAGCAGTGACTATAGGGAGGGGGGTGTCCCAGAAGTCATTAAAAGCATCATAGGGAGCTCAACTATGAGTTGGTATCATCACTTAGAAATCTAATTACATGCCATGGGTCAACAATAATCACATTATGACTGTTGACTTATAAATCCCAACATTAAATAGGAGTCAGGAACTCAAGGCTCTTTCTTCATTGGTCTTGGGTGTTGCACCCACCCTGTGTTCAAGCTTCAAGCTGTCATGCATTGATGAGGTACAGTTCAGTCTTGTTATCCTCCGAAGGTTTTCTTCTTGGGAAGAAACTGTTGGTAGATAAAGCTTTCTTCCAATTTAAGTATAGCCATAAAACTCCCCATGCATAACACAGTCTCTTCCCTGCTGCCTCTGTAATAATAATGTCTTTCTCACTTGGTCATGTATACCATCGATCTGCCTCAAATTCTGCTACAACCCTCGCTCATATCGGCGACTTGATGCTGCATCGCTCTGCACACAGAGTTTGGCCTTTTTCGCCCTTTCACCGTCTCCGATGTCCTCGAGACAAAACAAGAAAGCTGAAAGCACGTAAAAGAAGAGCCAAAGGCGACTGGAGAACGCTCTACTGATTTCCCATGACAAGTTTAAGTGCGCATTACTAGAGCACCGGAGAGAGTCTAAACTCTCAGAAAGCAAGAAACACCAGAGCGAAGAAAGAGGGAGATAACAGACGGACTACTGAGAAGCACAATGCCTTCTGCTTTGTCTTCCTTTCTCTTCCTCCTCCTCGTTCCTCTGTTGTTACTCCGAGTCTCTATGCTGCACGCGCTGCCCGTCCCCGACCCCGCCCCCGTCCAGGTTCACCCGGCCACGTCGACGGCGGTCTCCTCCTCTCTTCCCGCCGCCACCATCCCTGCCTTCCCCGAACAGTCCGACGTCGCCTCTGCCACCTGCCCTCTCGACCTTCCCTCCGACCTTCTCCCTTCCGTCACCGCCGCATGCTCCTCCCCCTCCGCTTCCGGAAGCCACCTCCGCCTCCCCTCCCGATCCCGCTGCTGCCCCGCCCTCGCCGCCTGGCTCTACGCCGCCTACTCTCCTAGCGCCCTCGCCGCCCGCCCTCTGCCCTCCGCCGGCTACGACCTCCCTGCTCTGCCAGACGACTCCGAGTCTTGTGCCGCCGGCGTGGAGCGCGCAATGCGGGACCGCGGGGTGGCGCTCCCGCGCGCCAACGCCACGTGCGACACCGCCTACTGCTACTGCGGCGTCCGACTCCGGCGTCTCGCGTGCGCCGGAGGGTTCGTGGCGGACACAGCGGCGGGTCTCTGGGTCCCCGCCGGAGACGGCGGGCATCGTTTGGAGAGCGACTGTGCTCAGCCTGGCCTCACCGGGTGCAGTCGCTGCCTCCGGTCCCTCAATCAGGTGAGTCCCCTCTCTCTCTCTCTCTCTCTCTCTCTCTCTCTCTGGGCACCGTGATCAAACTTGGCTTTGCATTTCTGCGTGGATAATCGTGCACAGCATATCTTTATAGCGTATAAACCATAGTGTTCCGGATACTTCAGGATTTGGACTTGGTAACACAAGTTGACAGCAAATGAGGGTTGAGTCACACATGTTCGTGTTCCAGGAGCAATGCTTACTTGGTTCACCGTTCACCTCGCTGCATGTCCTCCCTATATCTGCTTAAGATGACGACTACATTTTTTTGACCTTTTCTAAAGCGCAAGTGTTTGATGTAATGCGTTAGTAATGGAGAAGTGTAGTCTCTGTCTGCGACGACAGTGTGGTCCACATAAGAATTTCCCCTGCAGCTCTACAGGTCTACAGCTTATGTTATCTGCAAGACAAGCTATGAGGGGCTCTTTTGGTTACCACTTCATCTGGCAGTATACATGAGAAAAGACTACGCATTAAGCTTCTACATACATTCTCTGTTGTCTCTCTGTACTTCACTGCTTGTTCAACGATGAGCACTGTACTGATTTGGGCAGCTGAAGGCGAAAAAGCAGCAGGGCAGCGAGGCGAGCGGATCGGAGAGGAAGGAGGCCGCCACCCATGGCAGGGAATGCCAGCTGATGGGAGTGACGTGGCTCCTCTCCAGGAACCGGACGCTCTACCTCCCGTCCGCTACCGCGATTCTCCGCGTCCTCATGGCGGCCGACGCCGTCGGAAGCTCGGATCCGACCTCCTGCTCGCTCTCACAGGACGCCATGCCGCTCGCCGTCGGCTCTACTCAGATTGATGGCCGTGTCGACGGATCCTCCGCTTCTGTGTCGTTGCTTCTGTCTCCGTTCCATCTCCTGTTGCTGGCTCTGCTCGCCGTCCAATCCCTCCTCCATCCCTCGAGCTAGTTGATATCCCTTTTGTACGTGAAGCAAAATAAGAAAGGACATGGAGAAGCTAGGCTTCCTCACTTTGCTCGTTGTAATTATATCTCGCCACTCTGCCGGCCTTGTGAAGTCTTTGCGATGTTATGGCTTCAGGTGCTTCCAATCTTTATATGCCAACCCCCATCACAACAAGCTATAGGATCATGGTGGCTATTAATTGTTATAGTTTTGCTCTCAGCCCATAAGAAGAGAAAACGAGATTTGAACTCAACACCTTGCATCTTTGGATGAGCATATTTGTGGCCAAAGCTACGCAACTTTGCTTTGCAGTCAAACGATGCTGCAAGCGTTGGGGTTCTCCTCGCTTAATATGGCGGTGAGGCGATTCTCGTCGGTGGCAATGCGGTAGATGCCTTCACGGATAGGAGTAGGAAAGTAATGGTACTCGCCGCCGAAGTACTCCCGCCGCCGCTCCCCCTCCTCCCATCTCGGCAACGGCGACGTTACGTACCGGTAAGCTGACTCGGGATTGGCGGGAACCGGCTCATGCTGGTTCGGTCGAGGGCTCGGTCCAGGACCAAACCGGACACGGGCGGAACTTTTGTGGGTCGGGTAGGGTGAAGCGTCGAGATGATCCGGTGGTGTGCGGCTCTCATCGGGTCGGTCCGGTTCACGAGCGAGCCGGACTCGGCTCTGTTCCTTGGGCTGGACCATCTCTGCTTGAGGTGACGGGGAGATCACCGCCTCAGGGTTGTGCTTTGAGAATGGGGGTTCTGGTGGCACTGCTTCGACAGGGCTACCACTGAAGAACGTCAAATGCTTCGCCTCGGTTCCAGCGTAAGAGCATGTTGGTGGTGGTGAGTCCGCCATTGTTGTGGCTACTCCATGCCTCTTCCACCCTGGAAACAAAGCGTGAAAACAAAAGGAATGGAGTATGAGAGAGATCAGTCTCGTATTAGCAGTTGCCTCTGCGTGGTTTGTGTTTCCCTGTCTAATGTTATAGTCTAATTTCATGTTTGCACAGAATGTCTTAGAAAAACAAATCAGAAGTGGCGATATCTTTTCACCGAAAGGAGATCGCCGTATCTGAAGGTTGCAGCATGCAGTCGTCAAGTTTTATGTTGTTACATCTGTGATATGATTACTCTGGCAACGAAGTTAGAACTACTTTGTTCGCAATTTGACTACAGAAAGAAACATCTATTTCTAACATCGATTGATATCTAATACCTTTGCACATCCGGAGGACCTTGCACACCATCTTGCCGACAGGGTAGCAACCCATCTCTCTCTGTTTCTCTCGCCGTATGAGTGTGGCTTGCTTCCTCAACTCTGTAGAAGAGAGCTTGATGAAATGGCTCTTTAAATGGATGAATAGCAGGAATCTGATGAAAAAGTGAAGCACCTAACGCACCAGGTGTGGTTTTTCACTGAATGGAGAGAAGAGAGCGGTCTTCCAACTCTGATATGTGAATATATTCCTATGCTTTGAAGTTGTCTCCAAATCTTCTTCAGATTCTCTCCTTTCCCACTTTTCCTTGAGATTGTTCTCTACGTTATCTCTATTGTGGGCCGCAATGGCAAGTTCCTTCTTTGGTTAAGCATGTGGTGTTATGTCAGGTTTTGCCTAACTTGATTCAACTCTAATGTAATGAAGTCAATATCGGCATATGCGCTCTACTCTATCAAAATTCTCATCTACAAGTTGATGATGTATATTGTTCCATTGCTTTGCTCACTGTCGCCACCATAAAACCTGATTCTAACGCTCCCTGAGAAGGCTTGAATGTTCCATTAATTCTTGGATCCATGGTGATTATTGAGAAGAGTACATAATTTCTGACAGCTACCAGCATTCAAATTTCATTCGACTGTGGAAAGTTAAGCATAATTACATGATCTTTGAGCTTTGCTGTTCTCTGCCAGTACACTGCACATAGTCTCTCTATTGTGCTTTATGCAGCCTCGAGCTCACCTTTTTCTGCTTTGCTCCTTGTCTCTGACTTCATTCATCTCTCTGTGTTGGAGATTGAAGAGTACTAAGTCTAGCATCGACGATTAAACACGGACTGCTTCTGCTATTGAACAGAGATAAGAAACACAAAACCGTGCCTAATATTCCTTGTTCTACTTCAACATACTAATCCGAATCTGCAATCAAAGGATTCTGATCGATAATGCTACAAAATTCTTATCTCGGTTGTAGTGCTTATGATTACCAAGCCAAATGAACAACGACAGTATTGCTAGCTCTCTGTTCATATAGCATGACTGAATCACCAGCAAAACCTCCGGGGGTGATTTAGACAACATAAATATGATTTGGCCATCCCATGAATCGTATCAATCAATTCGCATTTGAATGTCTTCTAGCATATGCAGACAAGAGAATGAGGTCTTCAAGGGAACTGTGGCTGACACTGACAAATTGTCATTGTATGTATTATGAACTGTCCACTTCATCAAAAGAAAAGTCGATTATGTTCGATGTTAGTGTGGGGTGTTCTGTTGTCGCAAAAGAACACTGATTAAAACCTGATCTTGTTGTATTGGGACTCTGCAAGATTTGTTCCTTTATCCAATCCATTTGATTTTCCTATGCATTTTCAAGTTTCCATGTGCACATGAATCAGACCTCAGAAAAGTGTTTCCAGAAGCTTATACTAATTGCAATAGAGATCTGACATTGGCAGTGAATTCTCTTCAAAAGAGCTCTTCATATGCTACTAATGTGGCAACTTAGGCACCAAGACTGTCTGTCTCCTGCTTCCTTGTTGTGTTCTCAAAGTTAGGACCTGCGCTAGTGAATCAATCATGTTCCTCGTTTGTTCTTGGATTTCATGAAGCCGATGATTGACTCTTTGTATAGTTTTCATGTCTGAAAACTTGTAGCCTCAAGAATCAGACAACTATACTTACTGAGCTTGCAACACTAGAAGTGCACGTCTAGTTGTCATGCAGCTTAACTCCTCTCATAGACTACTTCGCATTGAGGATTTCCAAGTCATTAGGCAATTGTGTCATTAGGAAAAAAGATGAGACAGCAGGAGTTGGCACAGAGCAGGGGATGCACCCATGATGGTGCAGAAGATAAGGAATGGCCTAAAGATGCTTTGTGAATGGAACACTACGGTGGGTTGGTGGGCTTTGCTTTTCCTTTCTCCATCAATGAACAATGTGCTTTTGTTTTCCTGCTTCCTTTTTCTTTCCCCTACTCCATGTCTTCTTGTGCAGCCCTTTCGCATTAACAACAGCTGGTGGGTGGCTCGTCTCCATCGCTTCCCTTCTCTCGAGTGATAGATACACCCAACCAACATGAGCTTAGCTTTCCAACATGCTTAATCAGATTTCAAGTTTTCACTAATTTGATAGAAGATAAGATTTCTCCATAGGAAATCTCTTTATTATGTTAAGAAAAATCCTTTATTCTATTGAGGAAAATCTTTTCTCCGAGAGGGAACATATTAATGCATTGAAGCATTTTTCATTTCTTCAATAATTTTTTTTTTATTTTTTTAATAAAACTTTTTCAGTAATTATTCTTATCTTCTATTTTTTTCATCATAGTTGTATTCGTGGAACTGAAAAGATCATTTATAGAAGATAATAATGCTCCTTCCGATCCTCCGGCAAGAGAGATGTGATCATCCTGCAATTCGTTGTCTCTGTCCATAGCTTTGATGATAAATCATAGGAAAAGATATCCTCCAAATATATCACAATCATAAAAGAGAAGTGTGTTTTTCGATGTAGAAGACATGCTATAGACTTCTAAGAAGACATGATTTGGCCTTTACAGCTGACTCAACGTAGTAAAAGTTCTTTCTCTGGAGTTCCACATCAGTGTATGTACCAGTCAAAAGGAAGAAGAAAAGGACGAGAGATTAGTCGATGTTTGCTACGATCAAAAGTAGAAATATCTTAGTCGTTCTTCCTCGTGGTAAAAGACATGGCACTTTGCTGGAAACTACGTAACTAAGACGGCACTAATTAACAGCAGGATTCGACGTTAGGGAGCGGCAGCGAGCGGCTAATCTTACGGCGGCTTCGACAAAAGGTATGGTTTTGATGGATCGATATGGCTTTCACCGTCGCTGCTGGCTTTACCATTGGACCATCGGAAGGCGTAGAATCTTCCGTGGTCCCAAAGATCGCAGACTGTGGGGCCTCATTATTCATCATCTAATCAAGTGGCATAGACCGCGTGCCGAGTCTTTCACCCAAGTCAAAACAAAGTAGAAGTGACGGGAGGAGAGTCCCATATCCACACGTTTCCGGGCACCATCTTACTTGCGGAGACTACAAAGAAACAGGTGAGGAGGGGAGGAGGAGCAGAAGGAAGAGGAAGGGAAGAAGAGAAAGAGGTATCCATATCGAAGAAAGATGCACCTGCAAAGTAGGAAACCGCTACTCCAAGCAATTGTTTCAGTCATCATCGTCGTGGTTTCCATGTTGATCGGGTGCTCGGCGTCGGACGTTCAGGGAGAAGCTGCCGTGTCGCGGACAGAACGAGGATTGGAGATGAAGTGCACGTGCAATCCATGCGGGTACCCTTGTGGTTACTCAAGCCCACCACCGCCATCGCCACCACCACCATCGCCGCCGCCGCCGCCACCAGTGCCTTATTATCCTCCACAACCATTCTGTCCACCACCCCCGATGCCACAGCGGCCACCACCATCATCATGGCCGCCATACTACTGGTTGGGCTCACCGGGAAAGCTGTATCCAGTGGATCCGGATTACTTCCCGTCAGAGGCTCGTCGGAGTTGCATGTCGTGGTTCCCGGCGCTGGTAGCAATTGCGCTGTCGTTGATGTGGTTGTAGGGGCATATACATATAGGCCGGTGAAGCTATAGGGTATGCAGTACATATACGTAAGCCTGTTGTTGTCCCCTCTCGATTGTTTGTCTCCCTCCAATTGTACTTCTCAAATCCATGCTCTGTGAACCGATTAGAATTTAAGCTTGTAAGTTCATCGTTCCTAACGTTCTCTCTCTCTCTCTCTCTCTCACTCTCACAATCATATTTTGAAGCTATACAGTATGAGTTTCAACACTGAGATTTGAGGAGTTCGAGTAACGGAGTGTGTAAATGCCTGCGGGTCAAAATGTATGACAATGGTAGAGTCGTGACAGCTGCAAGAAGACTAAGGTAGAGTTGCGTGAGGAATCCGATCTCTTAGCCATTTCAAGCAGTCCGCTCCTTCCTCGATGTCAAGTCAACTTACGCCCCACAGTGGATGGTTTTGTACATCACTTCATTTCGTTTTGTGTTTTGTCCTTGCCATGACGAAGTAATCAACCACGCCAAATTCCATCATCATGTGTGATATGATTCCGTAGATCATCATCCATCTGGTTTTCCTTTGATATGTATAATCTGTGTGCATGTGGTGGGTGCGAACAATGACAGACGGATGCCGATAGAAAAAGCGAGAGGATAAAAGCAAAAGAGGAACAGGCCATCGCATTTGAACTTGAGTTCTTATTTACCACGAAAGCTGCCAAGCTTTGTTTCCAAGTCTTCCTACAAGCCACCGGCTTTGACACCCATCATCATCTCTAATAATTGGTCCAACATGCCCCACGTAGACGCTACGCTCCTTTCCGACTGTATGCATATTATTACCATGCATTACCTACTCGAGAAGCTAAAGCTTTAGGGTGTCCATTGTATATATAACACGGCGGAGAGTTAACTCCATCAAGTTCGTAATAAAAGACAAGAAGCATTCACTACTTTCTTCCAATCGGAATCCCCTCCTACACTGCACGACACCTCTTCTTCCTTCTTCCTTCCCTTTTCCATTTCTCCCTCTCTTCTTCTTGACACCCACGCACAATGTTGTGCAAGCTCTTCGGTTCTACCAAATGCATTCTACTCTTCTTCCTCGCTCTATTCCTGAGACCTCCGACGTCAGCCTCGTGGGACAATTCCCAGCCGGAATGCCCCTACCCGTGCCTGCCGCCGCCGACATCAGTGACTAACTGCCCTCCACCGCCGCCGGCAGCCCCGGCAACGCCGACAGCAGGATACCCGCCTCAACCACCGGGCACGCCGGGATACTGGAGCTACCCTCCGCCGTCGCCGCAGGGATATTACCCTTACCTCTCTACACCGCCCCCTCCTAATCCAATCTTGCCATGGTTCCCTTGGTACTACTACAAGTCGCCGCCGTCGGCTTCGGTGGCTCCTCCTCTCGAGAAAGATTCTCTCAGAAAGATAGTCATCAGCATGCTAGGAATGACGATGTGCTTAGTTTTTATTTAGTATAGTTTACGTCCTTTTTCTTGTAGGTTTCACGCATCCATGTGAGAAGCGCAGGAAAGTTCTTCCACTCCCTGTACTTTTCATGCTTCTTCTCTCCCCCTCTCTTATGATAGGAAACAGATGGAGGAGAAGGTGGCCGGTGTTGCAAA